AGGAAGGCCAGTGAGCAGTTTAAAAGTCCTGAACTAAACTGTCTGTGTTACTGGCTGCTCCTGCCATCAAACTGAGTTACGAATAATCTTTCAGACACAGGATTCTAAAGACTTTTTTGACACAAATTGAAATACATAGATATGCATGCATACATGAGCTTTTTTTATATAGAAATGTCCCGTGGGACACTCTCTGTAATGTCTTTCTTTCAGAACTCGCTGTTCTTGAAGACAATAAGGAGCTACAAAACATTCTGTCCGAATTCCAAATGCCGACGATGCAGTACGGCACCTTAAAGGTTGCCGGGTTCGGTAAGACAACACATGTTTAAAGATTACCTCCAGAAATCCCTGAAGACACATGAGTAATAAATGTTTATTTTCTTTGACATAATAATGATAAACGTAGAAATTCTTTAAAGCACATCTCCTCTATCGACCTCCTCAAACAAGAGAGTTTACTCTGAAATTATATACTGTACACAGAATTTTTCCCCTTTAAGTGTGAAAGTTGAATGTTGGACCACATAACTCATCTGGGTGAGAACAGAGAAACTTGTACTTCTTAGCAAATGAATTCAAAACAGATTTCTAACTCTGCACATTCATCTTTCTGCACTGTTGAGGCCAAACATCAAACTGAAGTAACAATAAGAAGAACACATTTTATTGGAGCTGGACATTAACTTTAAACTAATCTCATCATGCAACAGTTTTTACTTTTAATGATTAAGAACAGGACGTTCTCCTTGATATACTTCCAGCCTGTCCTGTCCTTGGAGCATTACTTTTTGTACTCATGTTTGTACTGAATTCCCTCTGGAAGCAGGAAGATTAATGTTCACGACAAACTGAACATCAGTTTATGTTTTCTTCAATTCTGTTTTTCTCGCCAACAGATCTTTGGTATGAAATGATGTTACCACCCAATTTCAAGAAGTCCAAGAAATATCCCCTCCTTATCAGCGTGTAAGTAAACGCTCCTCGGAGCGTCACGGCATCCCACTGAAATCTAAGGAATCCTCATTAGCGTTTACTGATACACGGTGTTGCTGTCATGTGCAGTTACGCCGGTCCCTGTAGTCAGAGTGTGAACTATCGCTTCAAGCTGAACTGGGCCACGTACCTCTCCAGCTCGCACGGCATCATTATCGCCAGCTTCGACGGGAGGGGAAGCGGTTACCAAGGTGACGAAATAATGCACGCAATCTACAGGCGCCTCGGGACGTTCGAAGTGGAGGATCAGATAACAGCTGTGAGGTAACGTGTGTCTGAACTTTGAAGCACCTCCGTGATGTTTGCTGTCGTTACACCCCTGTATGAGAAAGCTGATGATGTCTTAAATGCATGTAAATGTCATAATGCTGGTAAATGTCTTCTGTTGATTTATGTGTTGCAGGAAATTCATTGACATGGGTTTTATCGACAAAGACAGGATAGCCATATGGGGCTGGGTACGTTGTTTGGGTTTTTTTGTCTTCCTGTTTTGTCTTTGTCGTCTGGCCTTCATTAATTGTAATCTATCCTGACCTTCAGTCATACGGGGGTTATGTCACCTCGATGGCCCTGGGTGCTGGAACTGGACTTTTCAAGTGTGGGATTGCAGTGGCCCCAGTAGCCAAGTGGGAATACTACGGTGGGTTTGCACGCATATTAATACATGTTAACCTGTGTTTCTATTCTGAGATCACCGTGTTCCTTCACTTTCATCTTGTCTGCTGCGTATTTAAAGGACTTCCTCTCTCACGTAGCGTTGCATTCCTGCACCGTTGTTGGACTAATGATTTGGGTTGATGCAGCAGAACAACAGAGATAAATAGCATCTGGTAGAAACAAGGTTCTCTCTGCATCTTCCAGCCAAATACAGATGAAACAGGTGCTTCTCAGCTCGAGGACAGCAAGTTAGTACAAAAGGTTGCTGGAGCTTAATTAACATCCTTTTATTGTGCAGACAGACTCATGTTTCAACACTACTGTGTCTTTATCGGAGCCTCTAAAGAAAAGGCTGTGAATTAAGCATTGAGCTCCAGCCTCCTTTGTTCTCAACAGCGATAGCTTTTTCTACACTCACTGCATTCTTCTTGCCAAAATCTGACACCGACATCGCACACGATGCAACTCTCTCGGTTTGGCCGATGAAAGAGCGATCCGAGTGTGGTATGCTTACAGTCGCTATTGGAACCCCTGCAGCCACAAGCAAAGAGATAAGAAGTGGGCTTTAGAGGTCTGATGAGCTCATCTCTTTGCAAGTGTGAGTTTGTAGTCCTCAGCCCAGTCAATTTATGTCAGTTTATCGCTTTACACATCTCCCTCTGGCTTTCTGTACCCCAGCACCCACAGATAGTATAAAGTCAGCAGAGTTCACTTCATGTTTCAAATCTCAATCTATATTTTGTCTTATATCTTGTTATGTCTCACTCTCTGGAACCCCATTTCCTCCTCCCCGCTGATTAAGTGTGGTTTATTTCTGTGTTTATATTGTATTATATGTGCTTGACAACTGTGATATTGATTACAGTTTCAGAATAAGAATCAGAACCAGCTGTATTGGTCAAGTGTGTGAACACATGGTGTCACAAAATAAAACTAAATGTAATTGAAATATACAGTCATGAACTATAGACACAGAGTTAATGACTCCTTAAGAAGAAGATGGATAATAGTGCAGTGGAACAGAGAGCAGCATAAAAGCAGGTCTGTGATGTGTAGTATGTACAGCGGCTCAGGATTGTGATCACAATGAGTTGATCCTGATTCATGTCATTGTTGTTATTAAATAGATTGTTTCCTTTACAGATGCAGTGTACACCGAACGCTACATGGGAAAGCCCACAGAGAATTCAGACTCTTACAAAGTAAATATCAAACAGCTGGGTCACGATCATCTCTTCCAAACTACTGCACATTTCTGGTTTGAGACATACAGTATGTTCCCACCCATGAAACATATCTTTATATTTATAGAACTCCACAGTGACATCCAGAGCGAAAAACTTCAAAACGGTCGACTACCTGTTGGTTCACGGCACAGCGGACGGTACGTTCAGTCAGTTCTTTCATTTCATGTCTGTTTTTGAGAATCAGGGTACCAGGTAACAGAGTAAAACCATGCACAAATGGACTCTGTTTGCCTTGAAAGAAACTTGAGCTTTGATGTCCGGTCACGTACTGAACGCGTTCTCTGTCCCGTAGACAATGTCCATTTCCAGCAGGCCGCACAGATCGCCAAAGCGCTGGTGGACGAGCAAGCGGACTTTGAGGCGATGGTAAATATTGGCTCAGGAAAGTGGGACTAATATTGGCTTTGATGGTGTTGATTTAATGAAGGTTTCAAATGGGGGGAAACTGTCATGGATCACTAAATGAAGTCTAAAATATATGCATGTGTGTAATTTTATATGGGATTCATTCATTGAGGATGTGCACTAATCCTGTTTTGGTGTTAATTTCAGTGGTACACCGACAACGACCACACACTCCGAGGATCAGCCTACCATCATATATACACCCACATGAGCCACTTTCTGCAGAAATGCCTCGTAAATCCCAAATAGATGTCCAAAATGTGCATTTATAGTGAATATTAATGCAGGTTTTATTTTTAAAATTTCTGTTTTACAATTTTATTGATATTCTCAAGTGTCCAGTTGTATTCTTTTTTTAGACATTTTTTTAAAAATGTGCAGCAGATGTTGAATTTCTCATACAAATGAGAATTTATATTAAATGTGCAACTGTAGAACTTTTGTCAAAATATGTGACATTAAAAAAATGCATGCATTTATAGTTGAAACCACTTTTTTATTTGGATATGATGACAGACAGCTGGTGTATTGCACTGCACTGATTTGTTGTGGAGCGTTGTCATTTCTGTTGCAGTAATGTTGTAATGAAGGTAAAATAAACATTGTTTTGAAATATGTCAATTTCATTGTTTCATTTTTTACTTACCTTCACATATTTTTTGTCTAAATGAGATTTAGAAGCTTACTGTAAAAACATTCACTGAAATCAAACTAATTCAGTTTAATATATTTTGTCTCCCTCACTAAGCAACAAACATTTCTTATTTTGGCCAAATGACACTCACAATGCACATTTAATCAAGTTTTATCATACGAGTCATGTAAAAAGAATACGACATAAAAATAATACATCAAACATCCATCCATGATCTATACACCGATTAATCCTCACTAGGGTTGTGGGGGGCTGGAGTCTATCCCAGCCAACTTAGGGTGAAGGCAGGGGACACCCTGGACAGGTCACCAGTCTATCACAGGGCCACACTTAGAGACAGACAACCAAGCACACTCACATTCACACCTACAGACAATTTATCAGTTAACCTCAACATGTTTTTGGACTGTGAGAATCCAGAGAACCTGGAGAGAACCCACGCTGCACGGGGAGAACATACAAACTCCACACAGAAAGATCCTGGGTGTCCTCACCGGGACGCGAACCAGCGACCTTCTTGCTGAGAGACAGCTGATGACTGACCAACCAACAGGAAATCTAAACATATACTACGGGGCCATGCATTTATTTGTCAGGGCAGAGGTCATGTTTGGTCGTGACGCCTAAAGTAGCAGATTTGATCACCCAGCTAATGCTGTTATTTGTCTTAACCAGAGTCAAATACATTTAGGGGAGTGTGACGGAAGCTGACTAATGGATTGAGAGTAACGGAGGATATGCTAATGTTTCTGTGACGGCGGAGTCACCTGAGAGAGTGTCTCCTCAGCTCCGCCATAAAAGACCGAGCGGATCAAGAGGGGACCCTGAAACAGCTCCAGAAGCCTGAGAGAAGAAGAAGAAGAAGAAGAAGAAGAAGAAGAGCACCGGTCAACACACTTTGCAGTTCTTCTCTCAAACACTCGGCACAGGTGAGAATATTTTTGCAATAATTTCTCAAATTTATTTTATTTTTTTGTGTGTGTGTAATAAAAATGTGCTCTTTTTCTTTTTCTTTATCTGTGTTTGCATATTTTTCAGAGGCTTAAACGATGAGAAGTGCTCACGCTTTCGCTGGACTCCTGCTCCTCATCATCATCCAAAGCAGCTGGCAGGTGGTGCCTGACCAGGACACAGATCGAAACTCCATGTAAGATCAGCTTTCCTTTTTTTTGTCATTCACATTGGCCCTGGAAAGTAGCAGCTGTTGGTATAACAAAAAAAAAAAAACATCTGCAGTGATTTATGGTGATGTCAACTAAAATTCATAATTAGACAGAAGTTTTTTTAATGTACATTTGAGGGGAGTTATGTGAGACAGCTCTGTGTTCACTCCATGTATCTGAAAGCTTTCACTGTGATGTTAGTTTTACATTTATGGTCATTTTAATGCGCTAGTGTTTAGTTACCATCTGGTTCCACCTGATGCTTACATGTGATGATGCAAAACTACTTTAATTTTTAGAGCGCAAATTCACAAGCAACATCAGTGACATCCAGACTTATTGGTGGTTTGTGCAGACATGGAACATGTGAGTGTAGTGATTGGTGGATGAGGCAGGATAAAGAGCTGTGCAGCAGAAGCAGACTCCCCCACAGGATCTCAGGCTCCAGCATGACAATGAGAGGCGACAGGTGGGCGAGGGTGTGTGCAGCTTCACTCACTTCTTTCCATAATGCGCCCTTTTTAGGCTGTTGACTGAAAACTCCATGCTCAACGAACCCATTGAGCTTTCAAACATGAAGAGACATTCAGAGGGAACGTTTTCCAACGACTACAGCAAATACCTGGAGACGAGACGAGCACAAGACTTTGTCCAGTGGCTGAAGAACTCAAAAAGGAACGGGTGAGTTTCTCCTTTTAAAAATAAATCCTATTATGTGGTTTTGGACTTTAAATTTATTTCAGACACACAATAAATCAGCTTTGTGGCATGTTGTAAAAATCACAAGTCTGGATTTAACCATGTTAATATTGTAGATCTGTCTCTGATTTGGGATCTGTGAATTTAAAACGGATAAAGATAGTCCCCAAATCAAGTTTTAGGTTGTTTTTTTTAAATTAAATCGTGTGAAATGATAATTCTTTACTGCACCTTGATTACATATGCACTTGTTGTGTCTCCATCCCGCACAGGGGTCTATTTAGACGCCATGCAGACGGCACCTACACCAGCGATGTGAGCTCCTACCTGCAGGACCAGGCCGCCAAGGAGTTTGTGTCCTGGCTGAAGACCGGCAGAGGCAGAAGAGATTAAACTCAACCAGAGCACTTCTCCAGCTGTCGCCGTTCTTCTCACTGACTCTGTGCCATTATATGTTTCACGATCTGTACTAGACTTATTCTTGCTATTGCTATTAAATTCCACTCACAAGAAGCCCTGTTGGCCTTCAGCGGTTGAATGAAATGTTGTTAAAAGTGCAAAAAGTTAACAGTATGTTTGAAATGCATCTCAATCATAAATGCTGTGTGAATTTTTATCAAGTGTTCCCGTTATTTATTTTTCCACATCATGGCTTTTTATCTTATTTTTCACATGAATCTGTCGCAAATCACATTGAACCTTATTCAGAAAAGTCATATTTAGTTTTGTTAGGAAAAAGAATCCAATGGAGCGGCTTAGCAAGTCCATACATCCATTATCTATACACCACTTAATCCTCACTAGGGTCACGGGGGGCTGGAGCCCATCCCAGCTGACTTAGGACAGGTCACCAGTCTATCACAGGGCTACACTTAGAAACAGACAACCAAGCACACTCACATTCACACCTACAGACAATTTAGAATCACCAATTAACCTCAACATGTTTATGGACCTTGTGGGAGGAAGCCGGAGAACCTGGAGAGAACCCACGCTGCACGGGGAGAACATGCAAACTCAGTGCAGCCCCACCGGGATGTGAACGTGCGACCTTCTTGCTGTGAGGCAACGGTGCTACCAACTGTGCCACCTTGCAGCCCGCTTAGCGAGGATTTCTTTCCCACAAAATACATGAAAATTATGTTTAAGGCACAGAATCTCCCCGTTAATATCCATCAGACACACAATACATCACAACACATGGTCAATTTAATCAAAAGCAGCTTCAAGAGCACTTTCTTACATCATTGATTGGTAAACTGAAATATCAAAGCTACTGAGAATCTTCACCTTATATTAGTGTCAACGTTTAGCCAAGAAACAAGATTGAAACCACAGTTATTTCTGTCAAGCGCGCCTAATCCCTCTGTTTATGGAGGCAGAACTAAAATCAATAAACACATCACTCCTCGGGGGAGAAGTGTGCGGTGGGATTTCTACCAGGTAACACGACGATGTGCGTCACCTGTCAGCCGCTCGCCGGAGAAAAGGATTTTCCAGCGACGCTCCGACTGCACACCGAGGACGGGTTATGCTAAATGAAAGAGAAGGAAATCACGTCAATCATCTCAGCGCCGGGCTCGTTGGGAACAATGACTGGGTCGACACTCTCGAGTTCCTCCTGGCACCGAGACAAAACAGTAATTCACATGAGCCAGCAGCTTGACATGCTTTGGGATGTGCCACCTCTCTAAGCTGTCATCTGTAGTACATCAAACCATCTGTTGATTACAAAAAAAAAAACAAAAAAAAACGTCTGCCCACTTTGGTCTGTTTGGAGGCCAGATATATGAGGCTTATGATCTGGCATTTGGGCTTAGCAAGCATTGATACGGGATGTTCATGTCATCACCGCTGCAGGCTTAATGTGTACATGTGTGCATTATGTGAGGCTGCCTGATCATTTAGCAGCTGATCTGTGGGATGTGACAAAACAGAACTAGTGCATCATCTTACCGTAATAACTGTATGTCAGGATGATGCTCTTCTAATATAACTCTAGTAGATAGATAGACAAACAAGAATGCTCATAGAAATTTATTAATTTTAGCACATTGACAAGATATACGTAGTAAAATTGTGTTTTTATAAATCAACCCGTCCCTAATCTTATAATCTTCAAAGGTGTAACAGTACTGCAATGTTTGTTAAGGTTAAATGCCTTTAAAATGAAACTTTATTATTCATACAAACATTAAACACAGGACCATCTAAAAAATATTACATTTAAGCAATATACTAAAAGCAAAATACTGTAAGTCATCGTTACAACGTGTTCTGTAGCAAACATAGTCATTTTATTCCACTAACTAAATATAGCTAAATAATTTCTTATATAAACGCTGCCATTCAGGCAGGAAGTGCTATTGCATTTGGTTCCTTAGACATGTATATTGTACATCGTAGTCACACGGTATTCAAAATAGCCCCATTCCATAAACAGACACCAGAAATGTGCACTTTTCTCGTTTACATTCAGTAAATCATCACATCGTCTAGGTTTTAAAATTACAAGGTGACATTAACAACATGAGAAAATCATAAAGAAGCTTTCGTTGGTTCATAAAACAGAATATTTGTGACAAATCAGATAACACAGTTAGTCACTTACACACGGAGATTTACAGGACCAGAGCTGAAGGGTCGATGATCTGCAGTACACGACGCAGATTTAAATACAAACACACAGAAGGAACAGTGACAAAAACTCACAACACCGTCCACACTGTCCTCCATCTCTTCATCTTGCATTTCTTATCTTGCACTCTGACTTTGTGGGGAAACACTGTGAGCGGTTTGGTTAACTGTTAGACAAAAAAAAGACACGTACAATTAGTAGATTTACTAATATGTGTAGAACAATGCATATATCTGACCTATATATTTGTCACAATAACACCCCTTTACTATATTAGATCTTGTCCTGTTTGCAGTCTTTATGCTGAGCTAAACTGATTATCTATAGCTTCAAATTTACCTTTATCAAATACCAAATAATAAAATACCAAAGAATAAAGCGATATTGATCATTTTCTCTAATGCTGTGATGCAAGAAAGCAAATGAAAAACTTCCCTACGTGTTGAGTTATACTATTGAATCCTAAAATCCAAAGACCTTAGTCAATTAATGACCAGATGTTTCTGTGAAATAATAGTTTTAACTGTTGTTTTCATCTCTGTCAACAAAAAAAGCTCTGGACAAGTTTTCAAACAGTCTTACCATATTGTTTTGAGATCTAGAGCCTCTCAAATGTCTTAACTGTTGGCATTCCAAGTGTTTCCAAAGGAACCTTTGGACATTTCATCTGTGATGTTGATGATGGGTATTCCTCTGTGAAAAGAGAAGCCAGAGGACGATTGAAACAATCACAAACGGACATATATTGCATATTAAATGGCCTTCAGAAAAACTGTTGAAATTTACACAAACGTGTGAACTTCTCAATAAAAGCACAGCTTACTTATACCCTTCTAATGGCACTTGCACTGCTCCCTCATCCTCTGCCAGGATACTCTGCTCCTCCTCCTAAAGGTTCAGTAAATAACAACATCTCAGTTTAGATGCATGTAGAAAGTGAATGAAATCAGGTTTATATGCCCGTTGGTTTATGTGAAGCACCTCTTCAGCATCCTCCAGCTTCTTCTTCTTGCTCTCCGGCATGAGGTCGTCCAGCCAGCTCAGCTCTCTCTTGCTGAAGATACAGTCCATTAACTTCCTGATGAACACCAGAGCCAACACCTGCAGAACAGACACACGATCAAAGCAGCCGGAAGACGCTGTGCTGAAGACACAGATGGATTTAAACTGATAGGAACAATAGCAGCAAAGCTTCATATGTGTGACATCATCTGTATGTTTCATGTTTCATTGAGGAGAATTAAAGACATGAGCTTCAAAACATGTGCAGTGGGTGCAACGGGAAACTAAAATTTGCAAAACTGTCTATTCTCACTGAGAGAAAATGTTGTGCCATTCATAGACATTTTTGTCTAACTGCTGACAAACTTGCTCATTAATACTTTTCATACCCCTTTTATTTTCCCTGCAGTAGCATTAAGGCTGCAGTTGAAGAGCTCATTTGCAAAAACAGATAACTCCATCTTCACAAACCTTCCATCATCTACCTGAGACAACATCAATCAAACTTAAGTTGTCTCTATTTTTGTCATTTCTACTGAGTCAGATCCACTCAGCTTCAGTTTGGTTGATATTATCTCAAGCAAACAACAGAAAAAATACATTTTCTGAAAATCTGCAAAAATGGAGTTATCTGTTTTTGCAAATGAACTCTTCAGTTGTAGCACATAAACACATGAAGAAGGCTGGCTCTGTGCTGGAGGCTGCTCTGGAGTCCCTGGAGTCACTTGTTGAGAGAAGAATGTTCCACAAACTGCTCAACAAAATGGACAAAACTTCACATGACCTCCATGACCTAATAATGAGACATCAGTGTTTTCAGTTGGAGGATTGTTCAACTCCGTTGCAGTAACGAGCACGACAGAAAGTCCTCCCTGATGACTGCTTTAAAGCTGCGCAATCTCTCTGGGTCTGAGGGTCTTTGCACAGTTTTAAGTTGCACTGTGAGATTTCTATCTTTTGTTACTGTGAATGTGTTTATCTATCTGTATGAGTTAGGTGGCTAGTGAAAGGTATGCTGACTGCTGGTGCAATATCTTGGATGTTTCCTCACCATCATAGGAAAGACAATGGCAGCTTTCGACGTCTTGATGACCCACAGCAGAACCAAACAGGTGAGCTGGATGATGGTGAAGAGGTGCACCTTCCTCAGGGGTACATGTCGTAGGTAGATGAAGTCTGGCTGGTGCTTGGCTGGCATCCCGAACAACGTGAGACGGTCGAAGAACTGCAGAGGATAAACGATACGAACGGTTCTCAGGTTGTTTATTGTTGAAGTATGTATAATGAGAGAGTGATTACAACCCATGCAGTGTAAAAGTGTTCCTAAAGGCCGTAGCATCCGCTCATCAACGCCGTCGTCTTTTTGTTTTTACAGTCAGACATTTGGTGTGTGGTTGAGTCTGCAGGCAGCTGTTATAAGCCTTCTGCATTTACTGTTTCTCACACATTCTCCATTAGTTGGCCTGAAGGTTAAACTCATCCTCGTTCTTTCTGAGGGACGTTATCAGCTTTTTTCAGCCTTTCATTAAATCTACGTAATGCTCACACTGAGACAAACGGAACAAGGTTCAGATAGTATGGCATAAGTTTGGGTTTTTTTTTCTTTTTACACCTCAAATACTTTACCTCTCCATCATCAAACAGCAGAGCCTTGTCTAGATTAGACATCAGGAGGCTACAAGTTGGCTCTGTGACTACTAGATGCAATTAAATCCCAGTCAAGTTTTGTAAATGCTGGAAAAACACAAGAGGCCAATTAACTCTTTTTATCTGGGCAGCCACACAATAATGGCTTAGATAACATTAGCAGTCTATACAATGCTGACAAATTAAAAACTAACCACACAACTTCTTTTCTAACCTCTGACATGCAGACAATCTTGAAAATGCTTTATATCTACAACAAGATTCAGGTCCCGGAGTGAATATTTACAATTCTGTTATATGTGCAACCATAGAAAAGTTTTGCATCCTTGTTTGTTTCTCATATAGTGACACATAAAAAGAAATACAGTGAAGCTCAAATGTCTCACCTGAATGCCTCTGAGAGAAGATGCTCCCATGTAAAGGAAAACTCCGTACAGCACAGGCATAGGAATGAACTGAAGAACAGCAAAGGAGAAAAGTGGAGTAAAATTACAGACGGATACATTAAGTCACATCTAATCGTACAGGCAAATAACAGAGTGGCTCAAAATGACAAAGTGTCCCACTTTAAGCACTGAAGTCATGAATACAGAGCAGCCCATGAGGGTGAAGATCATGAGGCCGGTGAAGCGCTGCTCTCTGATGCCGAGGAACTTGGGCTGCTCTCCGGGAGCTGAGCACTCGGACTCCAGTTTCAGGCTGTTGACGTGGGTGATGGAGAGCACGGTGGCTGCCACGAACCAGGGCAAGCCCATCAGCGAGCACACCCCCAGCATCACCCCGACCATGAACAGGTCCAGGTGGTATCCGCAGCCTTTCTGAAGAAGGAGATAGCAGCAGATTAAACTGACGCAAAGCAACTTTGATTCATTTCACCAGGATGTTATAAAACGTGTTCAGAAGCTGCAGCACGAGTGGGGAAAGTACTTTGAGTTTGTGTTCCTTCCTGTTGATGATGACGGCTGTGATCTGCTGGTCCATGAAGATGAGGATGGTACACAGCAGAGCAGGGATCACCGTGATGACCGCCGTCCACCAGGGGTTGGGACCCAGCGGGTTGATGAACCAACCTCGATCATCTCTGGTTGGCTGAGAAGAACATGATGTTCTTAGTTAGTTGATTGGTAGTTTGTGAAGGCGCCGCTTTAAAGAGGAGGATTATACTTTTTTAGTAAATCCTAAAACGGAAGGAAAGATGCGCTTAAGCTACACTACTCGTGTGGTTGACCTGTCGGCTCACTGAGAAATTCTGGTTTTTAACAGTTTTATGTCTTTATATGAAATACTCAGTGAGCTTTTGAATTGCCCCTAGAGCAGGGGTGTCGACATCCGGTCCTCGAGGGCCGCAATCCTGCATGTTTTAGATGTGTCCTTCTTCCAACACACCTGATTCAAATGATCAGGATCGTTATCAGACTTCTGCAGAGCTTGATGATGAGCTGATCATTTGAATCAGGTGTGTTGGAAGAGGGAAACATCTAAAACATGCAGGATTGCGGCCCTTGAGGACCGCAGTTTGACACCCCTGCCCTAGAGGATAAATGAAGTTATTTGAATTTAATTTAATTGATTACACTAAAAGATGTTATAGAAGCTAAAAAGAGGCTTCAGTAGTCAGCATTAAAAAACGATCTTTCAAAGTTCCAATCGTCACAGAACCTGCCGCAGAGGAGATTTAAACAAAAAAAGATCCTTTACTGCAGCAAAAGTAATACAGCAATGTAAAAATACTCAAAGTCCTGCATAATAATTTATACTTAAGTAAAAATGCTTAAGTACTATGGAAGCAAAATATAATTAATGCTCTAAATTAAAAGTACTGGTTTGATCCCTTTGACTAAGATATCATTATACTTGACACCATTAGATTAATAATACTGGAGCATCAGTGTGTCGGCAGCATGTTACTGTGGACACAGGTGGAGCTGGTTTGAACCGCTTTATATACAGTTCTAAATACAGGGACAGCAGATAAATCTGAGGGATTGTTGTACACAAATTCTTGGTGATGGATTTGCTCACTTTTTTTAAACGAAACCACGTGAGAAGAGGAAAAATCCTTACATGCGACCATCATGACATGCTGCTTCTTTTGAGATGTCAGAAGCCAAAAAGGCAGGAAACTGTGGGTTTAGTCCTGAACAAGGTGCTGTGTTTCTAAAACAGATTTTATTATTCACTGTGAAACATCTTAATTAAAAAAATAAAAAAAAAACTAAAGCTGTCAAATGATATAGTGTAGAACGAAGTAGATTTTTCCTTCTGAAATTAAGTGTATTTAAAGTAAATAAACAGTAAAAGTAAAGTCAAATAAAGAACAAATACCTGAAAACTGTACTGTAATAAACGTACTTAGTTACTTTCCACCACTGTTGATTTGTCTAAAACAACATTAGCTTCTGTTGACCACTACACTGATAGCACCTTACAACAGAATATCTTAGTATGGACCTGTATGGACAGTAGCTTTACATAGTAAGGTGTAGACCTCATAAAATCATACAGAGAAACCGAAACAGTTTCCTTCAGATTTACTTTTATCAGGCAACAGTGGGAAGAAACCTCCAGCAGAACCAGGATACAGGAGGGCGGTCAACTTTCTCCATTGGTTGGGGTGAGGAATAAACACTTGATATCTACAAATAGACAAATATCTTTCTATTCGTTGATAATATGTCAATTGTAAACTATTTCTTTTTCGTTTTGGCTCACCTTAAACACACTGGGAACCTTTAGCTTTGGAGAAGGGATGCCTAAGGCGTAGTCGACCAACACCATGGTGAGGATGGTGAAGAAGACAGCAAAGTCGCTGATGACGGACCTCACCTGAAACAGAGGAAACCACCTAAAAATGACTTCACTGGAATCAATCATTACTTTTACAAAAAAAGCAAACATGGACCTTCATTTCTCAGTTGTAATCATGCATTACTTATGTGTGCCACTAGAGTGTACCACTGCACTGTGCTGCATTAGCAAACCTAAGCCTGGCTAAGACAGGGGGAGCACCTTTGTCTTCATAATGTAAGTGCATGAACGATCGTGGATGACGCTGTGTACCTTTGTGGGGAAGTAATTGCTGAACTTGAACTCCTTCAGGAAAGCAGACATGAAGACGGTGGAAAAGAAGAGGACGATGCACCAGAAGAGAACGTCAGGAACGTAGGGTCCGTGAGGGCCGCAGGCGGTGCCCACAAACTCCCCTCGCTTCTCAATACAGTCCTGCATCGGAGGGCAGGGCAGAATTATTCAGACTTACCATCATAGCCGGCATCAGCAGACTCTAGGTTTCCACAAACGGGGTTTATGAGCTTAAAAAAAAAACTTAACTCAGTACAAAAAATGTGCTTTTATAGTGATTTGCAGTGCAGTTTGAGTAATCCAATATAATCCAACCCACATGCCCTTAATCTCGTCTGTGCAGCTTCCTCCATCTGGAAGAGCATGCCACTTTAAGGTGGGGAATCTAAATGTATTCTTTTCAGACTGTCTTTCTATAACTCGGTCATTCGATCTGTTGTATCAAAACCTCCACGACCCACAGATCTGTTTTGTTGGTCTTAGTACTCTTTCTTATTGGTACTACCTTGACCTCCAGGGCTTCCCAGTAGATTTCTGTGGCGGTGATGTTGTTGAGCTCCCAAAACTTCAGGGTGCCATTGGTGGGGTCAGAAGGCTCCACGCAGGAACATCTGTGGTAGCACAAGACCATCTGGGTAACTTAATCATCCCTCACTTGTCAGATTTTACTGTACCGCCATCTTTATTACTTTAAACAGCAAGAACATTCCACCTACGAGTACATGGTGAGTTTGTCCAGGTTGTTGTTCTTGTTGAAGGGGTAGTGAACTCCCAGGTGGAAAAGTTTCTCCAAGGCCTCGTAGATGAAGATGATGCAGATGAGTGAGGCGAAGGCCTCCTCTGTGAAGCGTGTGATGTAACAAACAAGGGAACTGGCGTCTGTGGCCACCAGGACAATGCAGAGGAAGGCCGTCCACAGACCGATGCAGGTCCTCAGGGACAGATAGGACAAGCCATACTCCCTGTGTGGAGATTAACAAGGAGGAAAAATGGGATTATTGACGCTTTGAAAATGTGGTGGATTGGAGAATAATCAGAATAACATAGAACACTTTTTATCTTCATCATCAGAACATGAAATGGTCTACGGGAGGCGTAGTGATTTTCAGAACCGGTACATTTATTCTAAGAAAACATATTATGCAGCAAGCAGGCAATGCAATTACAGATTTATGCAACCTACAAATTATATTGACATTTGCCATTTAGTGAGATTATTTATATGTGCAATAAAGAAAAACATACTTGCAGAATTTGAACAGAATCTTTTCGAACACAAGCACTGGTCCTGTGCTGCCCAGGATGGTGAGGGGCTGCCCGGCAAACAGGGAATAGGCGATTCCAGTCAGGGAGGCTCCAAACAGCGACTCAATTGCACTCTGAGAAACGGTAAAAGGGACAAAGAGATGGACATATATTTTAAAAAATCTTGTAAATGTGGTCTGATTTAATGTAAAGTGTAGTGAACGGTTGGTTTACTGCTAGAACGCTGTGAACATTTAGAGGTAAACTCACTATGCGTCCTTCTGTTGCCTCGCCCAGTAGTCCTCCAAAGGTGATGACAGGGGACATGCAGGCACAGTAGAGGAATAAGAAAGAGGCGACACACTGCAAACTTAAAGCATCAGTGTAGTCGGACAGGTAGTGCGGGGCCTTGCGCTTGATGTCTAGGAAGAGACCACCGAACCACCTGAGAAAACAAGAAATACGTGTTGAAATCAGTGTCAGTTTTTTTTTTCTCTTTTCAATCCAAGTTTAAAATTGGTGGTTTTACTCCTAAAAAATGTGTTCCCCCAACTTGTCATCCCCCCACTGCCTCCTTCCCAATGTTCAACTCTTGGCTTAGTGTGATAGGTCCCCATGATGGAAAAGTCTTAGCTGCAAATAGAGCCTTGGAGAAAGGATGTTTCTATGGAAACCACTTCATGACTGCAACTACTGATCAAGTTTCCCCAGAAATAGCCGATCGGCACCACAGCGCACGTTTTGTAGCAAGGCTGTAGTTTACTGGCTTTAATTTATTTTAGAAAACAAATAAAGCTAATAAGATGGAGATTAACACCGGTGTCACGTTAACTCAAGATAATTATAAATCACAAACCGTCTGTTTTCTAGGTTCCCTGAGATACTTCAGGGTTAAATTACCTGAAACTCAAAATCTTATTTTTAGACACGATAGATAATTTGGCTTGTTTTAAAAGTTATTTACTCATATTTGATTTTACAGTACAATCTTAAATTGAGCATTAAAAATCTTATTTCCAGATTTCTTAACAAGTAAAATGTACTTGCTGCATGGACAGATCATTCGACTAGTTTTAAGGCATATTCTTCTCATATTTAGTGTTTAGATCTTATATTTGGGCTGCACTTTTTTTGCAGTCCTGACGCTCACCTTCCAGTACGCTCCAGCTCTGGACCCCCGTGGCCACCGTGCTCCTCCTCTTCTTCACCCTCGACGAGTCCGTTTGGTAAAATATTGCTTTTCTTCCTTTTCTCCTGCAGAACAAACAATTTAAAATCAGGCTCTTTTTCTAGATCAGAATCTTAAGAATCACAGGTTACAGAAATCTAAAAATATGTTTTGAAAAAGACAAACTAAGTAAAATCCTACGAACCTGTGACGGAACATTTTTTGGTGGCTCTATCCGTATGGACGGGTCCCACTCTCCTGGAGGCAGGACTGTCACCTGATCGAGGAATTCATCAATCCCAGCAATCAGATCGTTCCGGTCTTTAGCTTTATAGGCAACATCATGGAAAACCTGGAAATAGAGAAATACGTACTCCAGCTGTGAGTGTGCATGCTGCAGTGTGTGTTCAAGCTACTCAAACTTACAGGTGACAGTGTCTGCAGGTGTTTGAACTAAGTTAACCCTGTAAAGCCTGAAGCATGAAATCATGGCCAGAAAATTCAAATTTTTTGAAAATGGAGTGTTTATTGATTATTCTGACAAATAATTTTTAAAAAAGTTAAGTAGTATTTTTCATTTATGAGGTTTCATTTGTATAATTTTTGCTACTTCTGGCATTTCTGGTGCATGAATTACAATCTAAGGTGGATTATGTGTGCACTAAATGTGTCTGATCAGGTTTTTCAGGCAAAAAAAATATCACACTGATGATGTAGAGGTCTCAAAAACTCACGAATCAATTATACACCCATTTAAACATGTGCAAAACATGCAATACAGACCCCTCATAGACAGAAGTAAAAGCAGAATTTTAAATCCTGGGACCTGCACAGCAATGTTATCGCTGTTTCTCTCCTGTAAAATAAGTTCCCTCTGATATAACTCCAAACATATTTGCAGCAAAGTTTAGACTTTATCAAAGTGGATCTTGTCCGCAGCCACGATGGATTACAACCTAAATTCCGAACAAAAAGGAGGACATGAGGGGCTGACTAATCGCCAAAAGCATGACATAAAAGCTCTGAGCTGTGCCTCATGCTGTGAAATGTTCCATCACTTTAGGAATTTGTTGAGTTCTGCTGGGTTGTGAATTTATGCAAAGTGCCTGCAGAAAATCTCAGTATGACATCTGGTTGACATTTAAACCAGTTCATCCATCTTTCCAATACATTAACGAAGAAGAAGAAAAAAAAAAGAAAGAAAGAAAGTCTCCCAGATGAGCGAATTCTCACCTCGTCTGTCATAAGTGTTGCGATGGACCTTCCAATCTCATGATACTGAGGCGCTCTACCCAGAGGCCCTAAGAGAATAAACAGAAACCTAAAGGCAAAAAGAAAAGATCATTTTTTTAAATTTATTGTCAAATCTAGTTTGAACCACACAGGGGGGGGGAAAGGACATTTATACGAGTTAAATCAGCCTGTGGTGACCTTGTGGCGATGGGGACTTCAGCCACCCCGTTGAGCAGGACCGCCGGTGACAGACGGACAAACGCCACCACCGGTTTGTTCAGAAACTCCAGCTCTCCCACTAACACGTTGCAAGCCTCTGCTCCTGCCGGGATCTTCTTCATGAAGTGCAGGTCTATCTGAAAGAGGACATGCAGTACAGTGTTTAAAGTGTCACGTAAAAGGCCCTCGACGCCCTTTTCATTTAATGTCATCATTTAATGTCTAAGCAGCTTTGACTGTAAGACCCGACGCATGACGTCCAACTGACTTCCCGTCTAAATTTATTCCAGCTGCTCTGGCTTTTGTGTGTCACATGAAGTCACAGATGCACGACCGCAATGTCACAAAAGACTATTAAAACGTAGATGTTCGTTTGATCTGTTGCGTAATATTTCATGAGGACGAGGTATCTTTCATTTCCACGTAAATGCCTAATAGCGTATAAAAGCAGTTCCTGAATCTGAGACTAATCCGCTTTTCATTTGCGATATCTGCTTTACACTCTCTGATAAAAAAAAAAAAAAAAAGTGAATCGCATTGTACGGGAAAATCTTTTAAAGGTGGTGATTTTTTCAGAGATAATTACGTGGCGATGACAAGTGTTGACTGGAGTGTTGTTTGTTCCCTCATACGGTTCATATGGCTCCAGGGCTGCCAGACCTCTCACATACGATTGCTTTGATGGGTAATGATTTGCATAAATAGTGGAATATTGCTGATTTGTGAAGATTCAGAGGAAAAACAAATTACTTAAGTATTAATCTGCAGCTGGTAAATGATCCCGCAGAGAGAGAAAAAAAAAAATGTTGAAAGATTTTGCTGATTACCTTTAATAATTATAATGAATCTTTATCAGCAGCCCACGTTTTTTTTTTTTTTTTATGCATCTTTTTAAACAAACACAACAAAGCACATGAAACAGCACAAAAGGTCAAACTCATATACATTATGCAAAAGGCTGCGTCGTGGGTTTTATCCTGGTCTTTACTGTGTGTGTGTGATTGTGGTCATCATCTGCGGCGGATGACTTTTTGAATACTTAACATGGTTATAATCCTAATCCCTGGCGAGATGACCTTTCCATTAAAAATACCAGCGATGACCTCCTGTTCATTGTTCGAAAACACACAATTAAATAACAGGCTGCTCGTATTCGAGATGTTTTTTTTTTTTAAACGATGCATACTGTAAACCCTAATAGGAATGTAAGAAGTGACTTTCTGAACAATGCATTTGCAAAAAAAAGTGTGTCGTTTCTGAAAATTAAGATTTAAGTATCATCTATCAAATGTACTCATTATGCAGGAAAACAACCTCTGTAACCGCTTTTATACATTGCATGTGTGAATAATTATGTTTGATGCACTAATAGGTATGTATTGGTGAAACTAATTGCATATGCATTGTTGGGTAATCCAGAATATTTGGCAGCAATTCTGTATTTTCACATTAACTAGCTGTCTGGTGCATGCAGCAAAGGAAAATGTATGTCATCCTGAAAAATCACTGACATTGATTAACAAAAAAGTAGCAGATAAATACCTGATTAAAGTTTCCAGACAATAAGCACATCATTTATAAAACATAAAGTGCACCCTACCTTGCTGAAGTCCACTGAGACGTTGTCTTTACTGGCGTCCCCTTTGCCATCCGGAGCCGCTAACTGAGACTGGGAGGCCGACATCTGACCTGAACGATTAGAGAACGATTAGTCAGTTCTAAAACTGAATCTCATCTACAAGCGTCATGGAAATAGTTTCCTTAAGTGATTTGTAATTGGACAATATAAAAATTAAATGAATGCTTGGTTTTACAAATGCATTCATGAGTCCCAAAATAAATGGACCAAATAATGGAGTATTTAACTAATGGCTAATAGTAGAAAAAGAACATTTTTTTTGTTAGTTTTTTTTTAAATCAAATCTTAATCCATCAATAAATATTTCAAATTGAAAAGGAATTAATTAATTATATGTAATAATCACTGAATTTTGAAATCTATTTACACATGCAGTTTTTTTTAATTTACTGTTTTTCATTGAGGAATTTTTAACTAACTTTTAACATGGCATCATCACCTGCAGCAGTCATCGTTATTTGAACGGCAGCTTTACATGAAGTCGGATCTTATAGGTTTGACATATTCTGTCCATTTTGACCAAGTTCTATAAAATGAGTCCGTTTGCAGTTTTAGTCAAAAAGACACTTTTTCCCATTTTGTAGATTTCTTGTATAACGTTGATCCAGTCTCAGGCTTCAGCCATCTTCTGGTGATGGCCTTTTTACTTGCTGCTAAAAGAATGTAAAGCAGTTCCTTGTCTCTACTGCTAAGGCCATCCAGTACCATGTTACCAGGAAGTGTCAAATGAAAGGGGGCAAACAGTTGAGAACACATTTTGTACATGCTGATGAACCCAGTACTCTTGAATAATATGACAGTTCCAAAAAACATGGAAACGGTGAGCTCCTTCCATGCCACACCTCCAACAGGCATCTGCAGTTCCCCAGTATATTTTTTGGGGGGGCTGGTGTAATGAACATATGCAGTCTTAAAAGACAAATAAAATCAAAATAATTGGTAAAAATCACTTTTTGAAAATCAGAATTTTTAACAAATTACACATCAATTAATAATATTTCCATGACACTTGTGGTCATCCACATTCAGCAACTGAGGATTTCACTAAATACCGACACAGTAAACAGAATATCTCTGGGGATAATAAAAAAAAAAGAGGAACAAACAGAGATAATGCAACACAACTTTCTCTGGCAGTGTTGTCTAAAAACACTCCGGCTCACCAGCGCGATCACTGCCAAGCTGCCTGACAGGTCTGGCCTACTTTCTGCATTCATTAAAGCGCAGGGTCAAAAAATTAACTCTAATTATTGCGTCTAATAGGCTCACAAAGCATGACGTGGAGCTTAATAGAGATTGTTGCCTTGAAATTAGCTTGAAAATGCTACACTAGTGAACTTAGTGGCACCAAGATTCTTGGTAAACTAGGAAAGTCTTGAACAGTTTGTTGTGTTCTGTAACTAATTTTGTCATGTGGAATTCTGGCAAACCTGAAGCTTATAGTTGGCATAGAAGTAAGAAAATAATGCTTCCAATTACAAGTCTGTCCTTGACTAAATTTAGCCCAGACTCTTGTACCACGAAGCCCGACCGCAAAGATGTTTACATGTCAACTTTTGGATATTGTTTCACTAACTTCTTCTTAACTTTCTTTTCCATTTAACATGAGAACGCTGCGTGCGACGTGGTTTTTAAGTAAAAGCCAGTGAAGTGGCGCATACAGTACAAACCAGCACCTGTTCACTTCAGTGGGGCTGTGGCAGGTGGGTGGGCAGATTGTAGGCGGTGGGCAGAGTGAGGAATGAGGAAAATATGGAAGCGTTCACAACTTAAGACCATATGTATTTAAGACGCACGCACATATTGCACATTTACAAATTATCCACACTCTTTCTCGCAGGTTGCAGATAGTATGTCAACATTCTCTAAGGCAGTTCCTACTTTTTTAGAATGCTTCATTTAGGCCCTGAAAAGCTTAACAAAAACTCACAAGATGAATGAAATGCATTTTTGCACAGCAGAAGTCCCTCTGAGAAACAATTACAGCAGAAGATAGACCCACAGCTCGCTGGTTCTCTCACCATTCTTGTCCAGGTGAAGCTCTGATGTCCGTCGGCCCATGTCAGCGAGGGAGCGTACGATCGGGAGGCGATTGGCCAGCTTCTTGTGGTTCTGATGATGGTGCTGCTTCAGCAGTGTCTCACGCACTTTCTGTCTGAGCTCATCTCCCAGTGGTGCGTATAACTCCTGGTGGTCCAGGACCATGTCTGAGGGGGACAAAAACAAGCTGCTTACATTCAGGATTCTGGGATTTTTTTAATCCAGTGAGACTTAAATCTAGTACAAAGAATGAATAGGTGCATTCCTAACTTACAAATTGTGAATTAAACAAGAACAAGAAGCACAAAAAATAGCTGATTATAAGGTGAGAAGCACTCATGAACAAATTTCAAGTGAGTTTACCATGCAAGGAAATGTGTAAAACTTGTCAATGCTCAAAAATATTCTTTTTACTGAACCCTGTTCAGGTCTTGTGGACCTCAGGCCATTTGATTTAGGTGACAGGAATTGTATTTTTTTTAATTTTTGAAGATTTTTTTAAAATATAAAAAGAGATTTGTCATGCATTTGGAAACAAAAAATTATCCGACTTTTTATTTAACATAGTACAAAAGTCTATAATCAATAAAACCAACAAATATTTTGCACATCCAATGGACCCCGAAAGACCTCCTATGTATGACAACATGAAGGTCCTGACTAGGGTTAGGAAGTCTAAAGCTGTAACTATTTCTGTGTTTCCGTTACCTGCAATCTCTTCTATGGTACTCGCCCTCATATCCAGCAGCACCGTGCTGTTGATGATGCAGCTGCGCAGCTCAAACAGACTGTGCAGAGACAGCGTGGCTACGTAGGGTTTGCTCCATCGCTCTCCTCCGTCCTCAACATCCTCCTCAAACTTCAGCCACCTGCAGCAGGAGTTTGAGTTCCGGTCAGGAGAGGCCAGCAGACGGCAAACCAAGCGGCCATCTGTTCTAGCTGCAGTAACACTCATTCATTCCTGGGTCCCTCCTCACATTTAGCTCTTACGTGTCTCAGTTTCACTCATTTACTCTGCTTCCTTATTGCCTTTCATCAAAATATGCCTGATTTATCCATGTTAGCAGCCGGCCATAGTTTTGTCATGTGATGAACAAAGTGTACGTGCAGATTAAACTGACAGTTATCGGGGAGATAAAGGAAGAAAAAGTAAATGTGCCAACAATTACAACAATGAATTGCAATTACTTAATGCAATGGAAACACAAACATTAGACATCTCTCATCAGTGTAAGTGGGATCACGGGCCTGGCCGGTCCATTCAATCACAGCTCTCGGTAATGACATGTGGATCATGACTGTGCGTCGATGCTACGTAGCGACATGACGGTCGGCGGTACCTGGCACTTTCCCTCCACTCAGAATCCACTCCATCCCTCACACAGATCTCATCCATTTCTGTGAAGAGGTCGTGAGGAATGTGCTCCTCGTCATCGTCCTCTGTCCCCAGCAGGAACTGGACTCTCTGGGAGGGGGTGTCTGCGAACACAGGGATCGAGTATTACTAGAAGATCGTGAACAAGAACTTGAACGCCTTTCTGTCTGTGTTCTAATGCATGCAAGTCCATACCATAAACAGGGGACTCTCTCCCCTCCACTAAGGGGAGGGTCCGCTCCCTGCTCCTCTTCCTGTATTTGTTTCCATGGTGGCGGTGCCTGCGATGGCTGCGGTGCCTGGTGCTGCCCAAAGGCACGTGGACCCCGATGTAGAGAGTCCTGTGGCCTGGAGACACAACGCAGAGGGGTTAAAGGATAATCAGCTGCAATGTGTCTGTTTGTGTGTGTGTGTCTGTGTGTGTTTGTGCTTTCAGAAGCTTAACACATAATCATGATTTCACTGCTCGTAGTTCTGTGTGTTGCTCCTTTAAGCTTCATCATTTGTGGATATTTTTACCAGAATGAAGTGCATTACTCAGACTGATAATATGTAATCATATAATGCCGACTGTAGATGCACAATAAAACATTATCACAATTACATCGCCACTAAGGGCTGCGAGGTGGTTAGCACCACCGCCTC